AGTGGTCCACAAAAATCAACACAAGTATCATGAAAGCAATATGAATTAAATGAAAAAGCCTGGGAAATTTGAAAGGCTTTGGGGTCAAAATCATATTGAAATACAAGCCAAATAATTTTCCCAGAAGAGAGCATTCCACAGCTGTAATGCCACAACTGAATAGGGTTTTTTTAGTTGTAGCTATTAACTGCATCTAGGATGGTGGGGGCATCATGAGAAAGCTAAATCAGATTTTAATATGCCGACAGGCCTAAACCGAGACAAACAGCCTTTCAGGTATCCAATTCCTAGTTTCAGTCACTGAGTACTACTCTATTGTTCCTCCCAGTGCTGAACTCCTAACACACAGTAATGAACAAACCTACGTAATTAGAAGCTAGGACTAAATCGCCTAGTCTCAAACTTTGCTAGTGTTGGAATTTTGTTTCTACTCTGAGGGTTTTTTTTTTTAAAAAAAGATGAAGATCTTCCAAATTGAACTTTTTGAAGAATCATCAATGTACAAGTTGAAGTATTTTCCTTTTTTCTTCCGTCAATCATTCTGTATTATCCCATGCCTCCTCTTCCTCATTAAAAGCAGATATGTACTGGAAAAATACTTTTAAAAATTAAAAGTTACTATACTGTATATATTGAGAAGGCATTTTAAAAACTGAAAATAATTTCACCTATTATTGTTTAATATATCAGATTCACCTAATTTCTGCTGAAGTTCTATAAATTGTGATAATAATCTCAATTCATACTATAGCTACTGTAATATATCACCGCTGAGGTCACACCATGACACATGTTCATGTCTTTTTTGTTGGCATGCAGGTTTAAAGCTCAATGCCTTATCTGAATTTTCCTGTCAGCAAAAACAAGATCCCACTCAGCATTCTGCAATTAGGATAATTAATCCCTTGATTCAGCTAAAGAATACCAACTAGGAAATAGGCTTAAATACGAAGGGTGGAGGGGGAAAATTTAAAGTATAACCATTTAAAAATTATTCTAGTACCATCAATTTTATCTTAAAGTAACAGCCTGTTTGAGAGTGAACAGGTTTAGGGATGCTATCCAAAAAGGGCTTTGGGATGCAAGTGTGGGAGAACATAAACATGTATGAACATAATTGGAAAAGGGTGTAATGCCACATGGAAAAGTGAAAACTAATCGTACTTGACACTGTCCATTTATCTTCTGTTTTAGCAAATTAAGATAATACCATACTTAAAGCATTAAGTGCTAAAATGCAGATATTCTTTTCACTTCTGCTATTAAATCAAAACAGCCAAGGATAAAAATATACCCTCTTGATTTCTCATGATTGCAGTTCTGTATACGTGGGAACAAGTCCTGTTGAATCAATTAAGCTTACCTCTGAGTACCACTGTTGAATTCATGCAGTTTGACACCACTTTAACTACCAAGGCTTAATGCCATGGATTCACAGGAGCTGTAATTTTTCTCTGCCATAAATGCTGGTACTTCACAAAACTGCAAATTGCATGATTCCATGGCATTGAACCATAACAATTAAAGTGGTGTTAAACTGAATTAATTTAACAGTGTAAATGTATCCTGAGTAGACATACTTACACGGTGATATGCTTTCTCTTTCTTGTGTTTGCTTACAAATTTCCTTTGTTCACCATGACAGCAGCTCTTTCTTCATTTCTTTTCTTCATCAGATACTTATCAGCATTTGTCAATACACGTGTTTTACGCATTTATACATGTCACAGTCACATTTTTTCTCTTGGTGGCTGCAGAAATCAAATGCCTACATGCCAGTCATACAGTCCTGTGTCTTTTTGTTACAACAATCAGCACATAAATAGTTCTAAGCCAAATGTTACATTGCAGAAACATTTGGAGCACTGCCTACTTCAGGACTCGTTCTGTGTATGAAATACTCCAGGAAGAGGCTTTCAATAACTGGATTGTACTACTACTTTAATATTGTAGGGCCTGTTATAACATCAGAAGCAGATCTAATTCCAGATTGGGCTGTCTTTTTAAAAAATCTGAAGTATCCCCAGCAGTCAGGTGTAAACCTTGTGGGAAACATTGAAAGAAAACTAGAGCAGAAGACACTTAGATCAGTGGTTCTCAACCTGTGGGTCCCCAGATGTTTTGGCTTTCATCTCCCAGAAATCCTAACAGCTGGTAAACTGGCTGGGATTTCTGGAAGTTGTAGGCCAAAACACCTGGGGACTCAGAGGTTGAGAACCACTGACAGATGCTTAGAAAGAGCAGCTCAAACATTAACATTGCTCAGATCTCATCAGTCAGTTTTCAATTATGCACTTGGTCTTCTATTACCATAATGAAGGGTGCAGTTACACTTTAGAATTATTACAGTTTGACACCACCCTAACCGCCCTGGCTCAGTGCTATGGGATCACGGGAGTTGCAATTTGACAAGGCCTTTAGCCTTCTCTGCTAAGGAGCACTGATGCCATCCCAAATGAAGCAGAGAGTGTTTGAGGACCGGGACATCCGTAAGGATACCAAGGTGCTTGTTTATAAAGCTATTGTCCTCCCAACCCTGCTATACGCTTGCGAGATGTGGACTGGCTACAGACGTCACATGCAACTGGAATGATTCCATCAGCGCTGCCTCTGGAAAATCTTGCAAATCTCTTGAGAAGACAAGCGGACAAATGTCAGCGTGCTGGAAGAAGCAAAGACCACCAGCACTGAAGCGATGGTCCTCCGCCATCAAATCCGCTAGACCGGCCATGTTATCCAGATGCCCGACCACCGTCTCCCAAAGCAGTTGCTCTACTCCGAACTCAAGAACGGAAAACGGAATGTTGATGGGCAGGAAAAGAGATTTAAATATGGGCTCAAAGCCAACCTTAAAAACTCTGGCATAGACACTTAGAACTGGGAAGCCCTGGCCCTTGAGCACACCAGCTGGAGGTCAACTGTGACCAGCAGTGCTATAGAATTTGAAGAGGTACGAATGGAGGGCGAAAGAGTGAAACTTGCCAAGAGGAAGATGCGTCAAGCCAACCCCGACTGGGACCGCCTTCCACCTGGAAACCAGTGCCCTCACTGAAGGAGAAGATGCAGATCAAGAATAGGGCTCCATAGCCACCCGTGGACCCACTGCCAGTACACTGATCTTGGAAGACTATCCTACTCAGACAACGAGGGATCGCCTGAGTAAGTAAGTAAAGTAAGCCTTCCCAAACTACAGCTCCCAGGATTCCACAGCATTGAGCCAGGGAAGTTTAAGTGGTGTTAAACTGCATTAATCCTACAGTGTAGATGCACACATAGATATCAATTTTGTGCTCCTCCGCTCTTCCTAGTGCTGTCCCTGAAGGCGACTGAATCCCATTTGCTGTGTTTTGCAGAGCAGCTGATTATTATCTGAGTCGTAGTGGACCTAAATAGCAAAAAGGCAGCAGATCTCATGCTAATGGCCCAGTTCATCTCACAAATCATACGTTCTGACACAGCTTTCATCAATCACTAGGGCTTTTAATAATTCACTACAGCAATTAAATTTTCAAATTGCCCATTTCCCTTTTGTTAGGATAGTGAAAAGTAGATGGATAGGGTCAAATCCCTTTAAAGGAAATGGCAGCAGAAAAATGAGAATTAATTTTAGCTGCCAAGAAAGAAATTTCAGCTGGTTGATCAAAAGGCTTCAGAGACGTGGTTTTCCACTTCAAGGGGGACTGTGGCACTTCTAGAGACAACTTCCAAGTTCCATGATTCTCAGAAGATCCCAAAAGTCTTAGTTTGAATGTAACATATATGCAGTTGTACATTGTTTAGCATGCATTATTGTGAGAACAACATAAGACGATAAAACATCAAGCTGAGGCACTTGAAGACAAATGCGTTTTTTTCCCATCAGCACAGGAAGTACATCTACACTCTAGAATTAAGGCAGTTTGACACAATTTTAACTGCCATGGCTCAATGCTATGGAATAATGGGAGTTGTAGTTTGCAAGATCTTGATAACTTCCTCTGCCAGAGAGTACTGGTGCCTTGAGCCAGGGCAGTCAAAGTGGTGTCAGGAACTGCTTGAACTTGACAATATATAGATGGAACTCTGAGGCCCCTTCCACACATGTGAATAAAATCCCACATGATCTGCTTTGAATTGGAATATATGGCTGTGTGGACTCTGATAACCCAGTTCAAAGCAGATATTCTGGGTTATATAGGTGTGTGGAAAGGGCCTGAGTCCACACTGCCATATATTCCAATTCAAAGCAGATATTGTGGGATTTTTATGTCTTGACAGTCTGGGTTATATGGCTGTGTGGAAAGGCCCTGAGTCCAAACTGTTATATAACCCAGTTCAAAGCAGATATTGTGGGATTTTCTGCCTTGGTATTTTGGGTTATATGGCTGTGTGGAAAGGCCCTGAGTCCACACTGCCATATATTCCAGTTCAAAGGAGATATTCTGCCTTGATAGTCTGGGTTATATGGCTGTGTGGAAAGGCCCTGGGTCCACACTGCTTTATAACCCAGTTCAAAACAGATATTTTGGGATTTTCTGCCTTGATATTTTGGGTTATATGACTATGTGGAAATGTCCTGACAAACTCCCCAGTTTTCTGAACTTCTGCCTTCTCTACCGTTCAACCAAACCGTGCGGGGTACTTATAGTCCAACTGCACCAGGAGGCGGGAACATATGGCATGATGTCTCCTCTTTCGACCTATCCCAGCCGTCGCGTCTTGAGTTTGAACCAATACGGGAGGAGGTGAGGGCGGGCGGGCGAGGAGGGAGCTCCGGAGTAAATCAAAACGCCCTGAAAAAAGAGGCGGGGTCAAATTTTTGACAGGCGTACCCCGCTGCCCAATGGCGACGAGGAACTGCTTCCGAGTTAGCCAACCGGGGAGCGGGGAAGGCGAGCGAGGCGAAGGAGGCGGGCTCTGTTGCCAGGGCGTCGGGGGAGGGGGCGGCCGCGGGCGGCTTGGCGGCTCAGGAGGCGCTGAAGGGAGGCAGGCAGGCAGGCGGCAGCGGGGAGCAGGTGAGAGCGAGCGAGCGGCCGGCTGAGTGGGCCCGGGGAACTCTCCGGGGTGGGGCCGCTCTGAGGGGAAAGGCGGCGGGGAAAGGCCCGGGCTCGAGAGAGAGAGAGGAATTGAGAGGAAGAGGGCGAAGGTGCCTCTCCTCAGGCGCTGAGGGAAGAAGGAAGGGATAAAGGAGCCAGCGAGAGAGCGAGGGCGTCTTGAGGGGAAGAAGGGAGTGAAGAAGCCAAGGCGGGAGAAGAAGCAGCAGCAGCAGCAGCCCCGGAGCGAAGGGGGCTGCCCAGGAATGCAGGCGGGCGAGGAGCCCTGAGGGAAGGAAGGAAGCTAAGGAAGGCGGAGGGCTGAGGCGGGCGACCTCCGCCCCAAGTCCTCCTCGCTCTCGGCCCCGGAGGCCTCGGACGGTGTCCTCACTTCCCTCAGGAGTGGCCTCCCTCTCAGAAGGGCTAGGCCCCGGCTTCCTCTTCGGTTCGTTCGCTGAGGTATTCTTGCCTTTCCTTTTTTGAAGGAAGGTTGCCAACTAACTGGCTTTCTTTCCTCCCTTCCCTTCCTTCCTTCCTTTCTTCCTCAGAGCAGCTCATGTCTCTCTCATGCTTTTTTTTTTTTTTGGCAGCCAATTGCTTTCCCCCTGGATGCTGTCTCTCTAAGGGGGCATCTATTCTGCATCATCTAGAGAACCATTTGATTTACTTCAAAATAATTATTGATTGCTATTTTTGTTAGTTATTTATGGTATTATTGAAACACACCAAGATGAGTCCACAACAAACAAGATCACTCTGCTGCCTATTGTATTGGATCACACGTCGGACACTTCCCAGGTGTCTAGGACTGTGTGATATATCGACGAATAATGTGTGCAGATTCTAGTAAGGTGGCCTTTTGCAGCTGGCACCTGGTAATTTTTGTCAGATCGTGTTTAAGTGCAGGCCAGGGTCTTTAGGCACTGCACCCAGTGTGCCAATCACCACTGGGACCACCTTGAATGGCTTGTGCCAGAGTCTTTGCAGTTCGATCTTTAAATCCTCATATCGTGTCAGCTTTTCCAGTTGTTTCTCTTCAGTCCTGCTGTTGCCTGGATTGCAACATCGACAGTCCATACTTTGTTTTTTAACACGATCGTGAGGTCAGGAGTATTGTGCTCCAAAACTCTGTCTGAATCCGGAAGTCCGAGAGTAGCTTGAATCTGGATATTCAAGTTTCCATAGCTGGTACATCTGTTTTGGTATCCACGTTTTTGTGGTTCTGATCTATAATAGCAGTTCATGCTCCAAAAAAGAAAAGAAAAAAGGGGAGTATTGTGCTCCAAAACTCTGTCTGAATACGAAAGTCCCAGAGGAGTTTGACATGTTCATTTTCTGTAACTTTTTCCGGCTTGTGATCCCACCAGTTCTTTGTTGCAGTTAGATGGTATTTGTGGCACAGGTTTCAGTGAATCATCTGTTATGCCTCTGCTTGTAGTCTGTCTGCACGATCTTCTTTTAGCAGCTGAGGATGTGATCTATTGTTTCATCTGCTTCCTTGCAGATTCTACATTTGGGATCTGTCGTCGACTTTTCAATTCTGGCTTTGATGGCATTTGTTCTAATAGCTTGTCCTTGGGCTGCCAGAATCAGGCCCTCTATCTCCTTTTTCAATTATTATTATTATTTTGTCCCACCACCTTTCTTCTGCTATAGCAGTGGTTCTCAACCTTCCTAATGCCATGACCCCTTAAAACAGTTCCTCATTTTGTGGTGACCCCCAACCATAAAATTATTTTCGTTGCTACTTCATAACTGTAATTTTGCTACTGTTATGAATTTTCATGCAAATATCTCAATACGCTGGATGTGTTTTCATCCCCTGGACCAAATTTGGCGCAAATACCTGATATGCCCAAATTTGAATATGGTGGGGTTGGGGGCGCATGATTTTGTCGTTTTAGGGTTGTAGTTGCAGGGATTTATAGCTTACCTACAATCAAAGAGCATTCTGAACTCCACCAACAATGGAATTGAACCAGTCTTGGCACACAGAACTCCCATGACCAACAGAAAATAATGGAAAGGTTTGGTGGGCATTGAACTTGGGTTTTGGAATTGTAGTTCACCTACATTCAGAGAGCACTCTGTACTCAGACAATGATGGACCTGGACCAAATTTGACATGAATACTCAATATGCCCAAATGTGAGCACTGGCGGAGTTTAGGGAAAATAGACCTTGACATTTGGGGGTTGTAGTTGCTGGTATTTATAGTTCACCTACAATCAAAGAGCATTCTGAATACCACCAATGATAGCATTGGGCCAAACTTCCCACATAGAACCCCTATGACTAACAGAAAATACTGTGTTTTCTGATAGTCTTTGGCAACACCTCTGATACCCACTTGTGACCCTCCCCCCAGGGGTCCTGATTTCCAGGTTGAGAAACACTGTGCTATAGGGACTTGGCTGCTGTATTGCTAGGGGTGTATCTACACTAGGCGTGGGCAAACTTCGATCCTCTAGCTGTTTTGGACTTCAACTCCCACAATTCCTATCAGACGGAGTTGAAGTTCAAAACACCTGGAGGACCGAAGTTGTCCATGCCTGGGCCACATGGTCAAATTAATAATAATAATGTATTTAATTTAATTTATTTTTTATCCTGCCTTTCTCCAGATATAGCAGACATGGGCAAACTTCAGCTCTCTGTGTGTTTTGGACTTCCACAATTCCTAATAGCCTACTGATAGGCTGTTAGGAATTGTGGGAGTTGAAGTCCAGAACACCCAGAGGGCTGAAGTTTGCCCATGCCTGTGGTATAGGGACTTAGGTGCTGTATTGGTAAGGGTGCATCTACATCATCAAATTTATTATTATTTTTTATACTGATTTAGTTTATTTATTTTTATCCTGGCTTTTTCCAAATATAGAGACGCAAGGGTGCTATATTGCTAAGGTTGCAGCTACACTGTCAAATTTATTATTATTAGGTAACGATAAAGGTTTCCTCTGACATTAAGGCTAGTTGTGTTCGACTCTGAGGGTGGTGCTCATCTCCATTTCTAAGCCAAAGAGCTGGTGTTGTCCGTAGACACCTCCAAGGTCATGTGGCCAGCATGACTTCATGGAGCACCATTACCTTCCCGCAAAAGCAGTACTTATTGATTTACTCACATCTGCATGTTTTTGAACTGCTAGGTTGGCAGAAGCTGGGCCTAGCAGCGGGAGCTCACCCTGCTCCCCAGATTCTAACTGCCAACTTTTTGGTCAGCAAGTTCAGAAGCTCAGCGGTTTAACCCACTGAGCTACCAGTGGGTTAAATTAAATTATTATCATTTATACTTTTGTTCATTTTTATTCTGGCTTTCTCCAAATATAGGGACTTAAGGATGCTATATTGCTAAGGTTGCAACTACACCACCAAAGTTATTATATTATTATTATTGTTGTTTACTTTATCCCCCCCCCCCCCCGTCCTGCCTTTCTCCCAATATAAGGAGAATGCTATATTGCTCAAGGATGTTGTATTGCTAAGGGTGCATCTACAGTGTTGCATTAATTATTATTCTTACATTTATATTTATTTACTTTATTTTTTATCCCATCTTTCACCTGATATAGGGACCCAAACCAGTGAACAGCAAACATGACACAACACAATTTTTAAAATATGGTTATAAAATTTTGAAAAACATTAAATCTTTTGTATCATGGAGCATAAGAATATTTAAAAACAATTACAACTATATTGAAAACTACAACCTCTCCCAAATTCCACTTACTATATCAAAATACCATATTCTTAAGTTGTAAGACACACACTAATTTCAGTTCCACCAACAGAAAAAGTTTTATTTATATATTAAAAAGCACCTACCATTCTAAGATGCACCGTGTTTTTAGAGATGTTTGTATGTGAAAAAGTGTGTCTTAGAATTGGAGAGTTGCAGTATTTTTTAATATTATCATTTATTTATACCCCACTTTTATCTTGATAGGGATGCAAAGTGGCTCATAATATTAAAAAGACAGTGCAATTTAAATTCCACAACAGGATTACAATCCACAACATTAATGCAGTTTGACAGTGCTTTAAAGACCATGGCTCAATCTTATGATCCTGGGAGTTGTAGTTTGGGGCAGGTACCAGTACTCTTCAGTGGAGAAGGCACAAGACCTTGGGAAATTGCAAGTCTCATGATTCCATAGCATTGAGCAGTGATGGTTAAAGTACCAAACTGCATTAATTTGACAGTGTAGCTGCACGCTTACATGAAGGCAGGAGGGTTGGGAATGATAGTGGGGAACTGCTGATACAGGTCCCATCTCCAAGATATGCCACTGCTTAGAACCAGAAGTGTTTGGTTTTTGTTGGGTTTTTAAAAAAGATTTTTGAATACCTGTATCAGCATATGAATATCTTGGAGATGTGACCCAAGTTTAAACAATAAATCAATTTATGTTTCTCGTACACCTTATACATGTGGCCTAAATGTGATTTTATACAATACCTTTTATAATTTTGTGCAGGAAACCAACTTTGTGAACACCGAAACCAAAGGTGTAATTATCTCAGATACCTACATAGACAGTATTGGAGCGTTTCAGATCGTCAGATAAAGGATACTTAATCTGAACTTTCTCTTATCTCTTCCTGCTGGTCTTTGGTTGAAGGAAATCTAATGTATAATGAGATGAAATCATTGAGGTTGAAAAAGCCTAGTCTGTAGTAGGTATTCAGCCCTTTGATAACTTTCTTTTTAAAAAATCTTTTCAGTCTCATCCTTTTCTTCAGTCTTATGAATGAGCATAAAACAAGTGAGCAGGTTTTTCAGAAGTAGGTTAATGTGGATTCAGATTACAATTATAAAATACGATTGTTTTTTTATGTACTGTTTTCAGTAGCTCTTGAGAGAACAGCTAAAAAGAATTGTGGACTCAAGTCTTCTGTTTCAAAGATTGAATGAATTTACATTTTAGCATTTCTTTGAGTACTCAGTGTGAAAAAATGTATCTTACTGTCTTGATGTAGTTGTCATCCAGAACTCTTTAATACATAAGATCTGTGCAACCTTGTCATTAATTTTTATAAGGTTTTTAAAAAGTTTCTAATAGATTGTTGGCTGTTTTTTAAAAGTGGGTTATCACACCTTCAGGTCTTTCCTTCTCTATTCCCTTCAATCCTCTAGCACGTTTCATTTACAAAGGGATATCTGGTTGAGATAAGGTGCTTCCCTTAAATATTTTGTGGTCCTAGCACGAGTGTGAGTGTGGTGTAGTAGTTAGAGTGTTCGACTATGACTCTAGAGTCCAGGATTTGAATCCCTGCTCAGCCATTAAATCCCTTTGGGTGAACCATTTTTGTATATTGGTCAAGTCACATTTGCAGCCTCAGAGGAAGGCAAGAACATACCCATCTAAACAAATCTTGCAAGAAAACATCATAATTTGGAAATGACTTCAAGGCACAACTACCATGTGGATACTTCCCATTCTCAATATACAAAAATG